ACCACTTGAGTCTAACCTTTATTTCTGGCTTTTATTTATTTATTTTCTGGTTAATTTAGGGCTAAGAGTCTCATGGACTTTTCTACCGAGCCTAGCTTCAAATGATGCTCCTCACATCTCAGACTTCTGAGTAGCTTTCAAGCACCTTGCTTGAAAAATGGGAAGATATGATGAGTACACACTCACATATTTGTACATAGGGTCATGAAGTCAATGCCAGTGCATAGTCAAGAAAATGTAATGCATAATATGCCATTAGGCCAGCTGCACTGACTCACGACCTCTGATGGATGCTGGACTTTGCAGTCTCTGGGTTAGCCATAGAAATCTCTGTCAAACCCTAAGAATCTACAAAATTGAACTGCGAAAGTTTTCTGTTGATGAACACATTATATTATGTGAGCATTAAGAAACTTGAAGAAGGGCTGGGACGGTGGCTCAGTGGTAGAGTGCTTGCCTTGCATGCATGAGGCCCTGGGTTCGATTCCTCAGCACCACATAAGCAAAAAGAAAAAAGCCGGAAGTGGTGCTGTGGCTCAAGTGGTAGAGTGCTAGCCTTGAGCTGAAGAGCTGAAGGACAGCGCCCAGGCCCAGAGTTCAGGCCCCACGACTGGACCCCCCACCAAAAAAAAAAAAAAAAAAGAAAAGAAACTTGAAGAATAGGGGCTGGGAAGGTGGCTCAGTGGTAGAGCGCTTGCCTTGCATGAATGAGGCCCTAGGTTTGATTCCTCAGCATGGCATAAGCAAAAAAAAAGCCAGAAGTGGTGCTGTGGCTCAAGTGGAAGAGCACTAGCCTTGAGCTGAAGAGCTGAGGGACAGCGCCCAAGCCCAGAATTCAGGCCTCACGACCGGACCCCCCCAAAAAAAAGAAACTTGAAGAATAATGTTTGCAAGTCATTCAAGATAATTTCATTATTTTCATATTGTTAGCAGAAAATAGATGAGTAATCTATTCTGAGAGCAAGAAGAATAACTGCTAAATGAAAAATTAAAAGATAAGCATTCTATGTGGTGTACCACATAAGTATAAATATAATCATGTAAATATGTAAATCTCCCAGAAAGGTATCAATATTTTGGTAAGAGAAATAGAAATAAAAGGATTATTCCACTAATTGTTTTAAAGTATGAAATATACACTCATGTACAGTCCTGGAATAACTTTGTAGCTCCAAGATCACACAATCTGGGGCAAAATGTACAATAATCACCTTAGCTAAAGTCAAATGGAAATGTCTAACCAATGGTTCAGAATGTTAAGGTTAAAAATTCTTCTAAAAGAATTTTAAAATCAAAGGAATCCTTTGTAGCTATCTACTTATGTAAGCTGAAATTTATAAATGTGCTTCTAAGGCATCACTGGAGTGACACAAGAATGCATCTGATTCAAGTCTTTTGATGTTCTCTCTCTGAATAAGGATCTTTTTATTAGTGTCCTCAAGAACATTTTCTTATGTTGTCTAGACTTCAAATGGAGGAGACAGGCTTATTGATACTGGATATCTAATTTGTCTCTTAAGTGCAAGCATGGGTAAAGTAAGTGAATTTTAAATTCCATTAATCAAAATCAAAGCACAGGTAGTCTCCAAGTAATGATGGTTCAACCTATGATTTTTTTTTTTTATTAAAAAGGGGCAAAAAAAATACCCATACAACCATCCTGATTTTCATGTCAAGTGCTACATTCAATAAAGTATATGAGATACTTAACATGTCATCATAAAATAGGCTGTGCATTAGCTGATATGGTCCAACTGTAGGCTATTGTTCTGAGCATGTTCAAGGGCTAGGCAATGATGTTATGTGTATATTACCTGGAATTAATGCTTTGTGTGTGTGTGTACATGTGTGTGTGTGTATGCACACACATGTGTGCCAGTCCTGTTCAGATGCTAGTGTTTACCACTTGAGCCACAGCTCCATTTTTGGGTTTTTGGTGATAGATGGAGTCTCATTGACTTTCTTTCCAGGGCTGGCTTTGAACAGCCATCCTCACCTCTCAGTCTAGCTAGGATTATAGGCATGAGCCACTGGTACCCAGCCACCTTTTTTAAAGAAAACAAAACAAAACAGGTTCCGCTTTCATCAGCTCATGACTAGCTTGAAGGTGAGTATAACTTAAATTATAGAGTCTGTTCCTGAAACATAGGAAGCCAGCCTCTCTTCCAGAGACATGAATGTGTGCAGCAGATAATACTGTAGAAATATCCAGGCTTGTTGGATGATCAATGTGGTGAACTGCTTCAATGAATAACTTAGCCACTTAGGATAAGTAGAAAGCCAATGCAAAAAATAAAATTTGATTGAAAATATGTCAACAATGAAAAAAAAAAGGGTAAGTTTCCAGTGGCTCACACCTGCAATCCTACCTATTTAAGAAGCTGAGATCTGAGGATCAAAGTTCATGCCAGCCTGGGCAAGAAAGTCTGTCTTCAAATAACCAGTCAAAAAATGCTGAAACTGGAGTTGTGGCTCAAGTGGTAAAGTACTAGCCTTGGGGAAAAAAACACAAGGACAGCAACTAGGCCATGTTCAAGCCCCCAGGACTGGCATACACTCACGTGTGCACGTGCGCACACACACACACACACACACACACACACACACACACACACACACACACACACACACACACACACACCTTCCTACTAATAGCAGTAAATGCATTTTTTTTTTTGGTCAGTTGTGGTTCTGAGCGCTGTCCTTAAACCTCTTTGTGCTCAAAGCTAGTGTTCTACCATTTGAGCCACATTACCACTTCTGGTTTGGGAGTGGTTAATTGGAGATGAGTGTCACAGGAACTTTTCTGCCCAGGCTGGCTCCGAACCGTGATCCTCAGATCTCAGCCTCCTGAGTAGTTAGTATTATAGGTGTGAGCCACTGGGACCCAGCAAGTGCATCTTTTTTTTTTTTTTCCTAGTATTCCAAGACTATTTTTTTTTTCCTTTTGATGCTGGTCCTTGAGATTTATCTGCTCAAAGCTAGTGCTCTACCACTTGAGCCACAGCTCCACTTCTGGCTTTTGGAGTGGTTAAATGGAGATAAGAGTCTTACAGACTTTACTGCCCACAGTGGCTTTGAATCATGGTTCTCAGATCTCAGCCTCCTAAGTAGCTAGGATCACAGGCATGAATCTCTGGTGCCTGGCCTGACGTGCTGTGCTTAGCATTGTGAAAATGTTCTGATCCCTATGAAATGATTTTTCTGGATGCAGGAAATAACTGTGCCTAATTTTGAATTTTTACCAATAGCTGAGAGAACAGAGTCATTGTCAGTTGTCACAGCCCAAAGTTAAACTGCATTTAAGAAGCTAGGCCAGTGGTTGGGAATATATCTCACTGGTAGATTGCTTGCCTAGCCATGCATGAGGCCCTGAGTTCAAGGCTTTTGATAAGATACAACATTCATTCATGTTAAAAGCTCTGGAGAAAATAGGAATAGGAGGAACAGTCTTTAAAACAATAAAAGCATGCTGGGCGCCGGTGGCTCATGCCTGTAATCCTAGCTACTCAGGAAGCTGAGATCTGAGGATCGCGGTTCAAAGCCAGCCCAGGCAGGGAAGTCCGTGAGACTCTTATCTCCAATAAACCACCAGAAAACCAGAAGTGGTGCTGTAGCTCAAGTGGTAGAGCACTCACCTTGAGCTGAAGAGATGAGGGACAGTGCTCAGGCTCAGAGTTCAAGCCCCACAACTGACAAAAAAAAAAAGCCAATAAAAGCCATATACAACAGACGAGTAGCCAATAGTATATTTAGTGGGGAAAAACTACAACCAATTCTCCTAAAATCAGGAACAAGGCAAGAATTCTTACTCTCACCACTCCTCTTCAATACAGTTCTGGAATCCTTAGCCAGAGCAATAAGGCATGAAAAAGACATTAAAGGAGTCTGCATAGGGAAGGAAGATGACATGATACTGTATCTCCATGATCCCCAAAACTCCATCCCTAAACTCTTAGAACTTATAAACCAAAGTATCAGGATACAAAATTAACCCACAAAAATGAGTTGCCTTTCTGTACACCAAAAATGTACAAGCAGAAAGGGAAATCAAGGAAACAACCTCATTCATAATAACTTCAAAAAATAAAATATTTAGGAATTAACCTAACCAATGATGTAAAAGAACTATTTAATGAAAACTATAAAAACTTAAAAAAAGAAATTATTGAGGACACCAGGAAATGGAAAGACCTTCCATGTTCTTGGATAGGCAGATAATATAGTAAAATGGCCATACTGCCAAAATTGGTATACACATTCAACACAATTCCTATTAAAATCCCAATGATGTTCACTACTGAAATACGGAAAACAGTCCAAAAATTCATATGTAACAACAAAAGACCTAGAATAACCAAAACAATTCTAAGCAATAAAGACAATACAGGAGGGATCTCAATGCCAGACTTCAAACTCTACTGTAGAGCCATCATAACAAAGACAACTTGGTACTGGCACAAAAACAGACCCAAAGATCAATGGAATAGAATAGAAGAACCAGAAATAAAACCACACGCCTACAGTCAGCTGATATTTGACAAAGGAGCCAAAGACATACAGTGGAAGAAGCATAGCCTCTTCAACCACTGGTGCTGGGAAAACTGGGCAGCCACATGAGAAAACTAAAAGTGGTCCCTAGCATCATAAATAAATGGAAAAAAAAGAAGAATTGCTCTGTATTCAGATTTAAAGAAGTAGAACTTTATTGATTGGACAAAAACAATATATATAATATAAAAACCAAGTCAAATCAGTCCATTTCATACACTTAATGTTCACACATAAAAATGAATACTTCCATGTTTTTGATACCTAAAATTTTTCACATTAAATTGTAACTTTTTTTTTCTGGTTCTGAGGCTTGAACTTGGCCTGGGCGCTGTCCCTGTGCTCCTTTTGTTCAAGGCTAGCTCAACCACTTGAACCACAGTGCTACTTCTTGCTTTTTCTGTGATTAATTGGAGATAAGAATCTCACAGACTTTCCTGCCTGAGCTGGCTTCAAACCTTGATCCTCAGATCTCAGCCTCCTGAGTAGGTAGGATTGTAGGCATGACCTACCAGCACCCAGCTAAGTGGTAACTTTTAATGAAGTTCCTTCCCCACATATTTTTTTAATTTCTATGATATAGGGCTTACAATGTAATAAAACACATCTATTACATACACATCCTATATATTAATGATGACATATCTAAAGCATTTCCTGAGGCAGTGTAAAGAGACAAGAGATGATTTTGTGTAGGGCTCAGCCAGATGGCCCAAATACAAAAAGAGTCTCCAGCAGAATGATTTATTTTTTTCTCATGCAACACATCTGGCTAGAGAATAGGAGTCCATTGTGCTGGCTGCCTCTGGGCTCCATAAAGTTCTAAGCTTACCATTCTAACAATTGATTCCTCTAGAGATTCTTCCATTGTTCTCTAGGAGAAGGCCAATTTATGAAACTGTGTTTATACTTTTAGGTTACAAACTATCTATAAAAAGAACTCCATTACTGAGAGCTGATCATGGATGTAGAGCATGTATTTATTTACTCAATAGCTAAGCAGATAACCCAAAGATAATGAGTGTTTTTATAATCTACCAAAGTGAGCTATGGCTGTGGCTCCAGTGGTAGAATGCTTGCCTAGCAAGTGCAAGATTCTGAGTTCAAACCCCATTACTGCTCATTAATGCTCATGCTAATCAGGAGGTTCAGATCTAAGGATTAAGGTTTGAAGCTAGCCTAGGCAGGAAAGTCTGTGAAACTCTTATCTATAATTAACCAGTAAAAAGTCAGAAGTGGAGCAGTAGATCAAGTGATAAGAGCATCAGCATTGATTAGAAAAAATCCAAGCTAGAGTACAAGGCTCTCAGTTTAAGTTCCATAGCTGGCACATGCACAAACATCAAACATCCCAAATCATAATGATTCATAAAGTCACCTCAATACTGCAACAATACATTTGATTCATATTGCAACCCATTCAAATGAAGCTTTTCATGAAAAGTATTGGCATCTACATTTTAGGAAGCATTTCTGATATAAGACACAATCTTTCTTGTCTTATATTTCTGTCTGTACATTACATGAAATTTTCTTTGCATCATGACTTCTTATCTTTGTCTTCATTCATTCCTGTCCTCTCCCAGAGAAATTAAAACACTGGGGGGAAAAGCAGAGGAAAAGATGGAGAGCTAATTTATGTATCTGCAAGCAAGGCAGGGTTGCAACATCATTTCCTTTTTGGTCTGTGAGAGTTCCCTGTATGTTTGATTTTTTTTGTTTTTGTTTTTGCAAGTCCTGGAGCTTGAACTCAGGCCCTGGGCACTGTCCCTAAACTTCTTTTTTTGTTCAAAGCTAGTACTCTACCACTTGAGCCAGCACCACTTCTGGCCTTTTCTGTTTATGTGGTCCTGAGGAATCGAACCCAGGGCTTCATGCATGCTAGGCAAGCACTCTACCACAAAGACACATTCCCAGCCCTCCCTCCCCCATATGTTTTTAAGGAGCAGAAAAATACATGATGTTCAATTCAAAGGAGGGCCTTCTACATAAAACATTTCAAAAAGAGAGAGGATCACAAAGTTTCCATTCTACTAATTTAAATGTATACAAATTCAGAGGCTTAAAAATCTTCCGACCCCCTGGGTTTAGGAAGCTGAAGGCTGGGAATCTCCTTTCTCGCTTAATACACGCCTTGTTTTGCATTTCTCACAGGTAAGCAGGCAGTGCCTAGAAGAGAAGGGAGAACAGGTGGTAGGCTGTACAATGGATCAGTGGATGCTCTAGCCAGTGCTAAGGCTTGAACTCGGGGCTTGGGCACTGTCTCTGAGTGTCTAGCACTCTACCACTTGAGCCATAGCTCATTTCCAGCTTTTTCTATTTATGTGGTATTGAGGAATCGAACACAGGGCTTCATACGTGCTAGGCAAGCGCTCTATCACTAAGCCACATTCCCAGCCCCATGCTCTAGTCATAACACACTATTATCTAGAGACATTTTGTAAAGGTCACTAACCTGACTTTTAGTGGAGATTGTGCTGGGAAATGTAGATTCCAATCTGTTTATAATGGTTCTGGAAGTCAAAGTGGGGTAATAGCAAAAGAAACTCCAAGCCAGGCAGCTCACACCTGTAATCCTAGCTACTCAGGAGGCTGAGATCTGAGGACTACAGTTTGAAGTCAGCTAGGGCAGAAAAGTCCCTGTGAGATTCTTATCTCCAATTAACTAAAAAACAGGAAGTAGAGCTGTGGCTCAAAGTGGCAGAAGGTTTGACTTGAGTGAAAAAGCTCAGGGACAGCACCCAGGCCCTGAATTCAAGCCCTAAAACTAAGAAAGAAAGAAGGAAGGAAGGAAGGAAGGAAGGAAGGGAAGAAAGGAACTCCTACAACTGAAGAAGAGGAAGAAGCAGTCAACAAAATTTTCTCCTTTACTGGTATTGCCTTTCCTACTTGCCCTACACATCGTGGCATCTGGCAGTCACTTGCTCTCCAAGAAGTTGATCCTAAAACACAGCTGTGCAAGGACAGACTGAAACAAGTCTCTGGAAATATGGAGTGAATGCCCCTCTGGCAGTTTGCTGCTGTTATGGAAAAAGTTAAGGGTTTGCAAAAGAAATGCATTAGGTTAGAGTTCCCATCTGCCTGCAGCTAACAATGTCACCCCTGAAAATCTATGCCCCTCTCTGGGCCACACCTGGCTCATGAGGAAGAGACAATGTTTAGGGTTCTGTCCACCATTGCAAAACTATGGCTTTTCAAAGTCACAGAATTAGAAAGAGAACTTGGGCACCCTGACTTCTAGCCCAATGTTTCTTTCAAATAGAAGCCACTGTGGCAAAGGAGGGCTCTTTAGAGAAACGTATCCCTTAACACTGAGTGTCATGATTAACCATTTCTAGTCCTTACATCATCTCATAGAAACCATGATTCAAGAAAACCGGAGATTAGAAGGCTTAAGAAGCTTGGCTCAGGTCACACAGCTTAATTGGCAGAAGTCATTTGCAACCCAATTACTCTAATAGCAGAGGCCACAATCCAACTGCTTACATCCCCAAGGGAGAATCAATGGCTCTGAGAAGCTTTGCAGTAAAGAAGACTTTAAGTCTATGTAACTCAGTGCTGACAGAAGCCATGTTTGCTTGCTCATTAAGGTAAGGTTCCCCCACCCACTCCATCCCCCAGGGTTTGAGTAACTGGGATTACAGGCATGAGCCACCCGTGACTGGCTCATTATATTTTTAAGAGACCTGAATGAGGCTTCGAATATTATCAGCACATATTATTCATTACATATTCATTGAGTAAATGAAATAGGTAACTAAGTTATATATTTATTATAAAGCTATTTAATCTCTTATAATGATCTTCATTACATATTACAAACCTGTTATGTTCTGGACCAAACCCAGCTCCACGCAGCTGATCTTCAAAGGAATGGAATTTTCCCTGGCATACTCCTATGTATGATGCCTTTCCCAGGCCAAATCCTATGAGACCAGCAACTATAAAAGCAGGTTAAGAAAAAAGATTATTGAGAGGGTTGTAATCTTGTTTACTGATACTCTTTTAGAACTTATCAAAATTAGTTATTTTTATATTAAAAGGACCATAATCAAACAATAAACAAGCTCTGAGAATGAAGCCCCTTTTTAAAAATAGAACTAGGGGTTGGGAATATGGCTTAGTGGTACAGTGTTTGCCTAGCATGCATGAAGCCCTGGGTTCAATTCCTCAGTACCACATAGACAGAGAAAGCTGGAAGTGGCGCTGTGGCTCAAGTGGTAGAGCACTAACCTTGAGCAAAAGCAGCTCAGGGACAGTGTCTAGGCCCTGAGTTCAGCCTCAGGACTGGCAAAAAAAAAAAAAAAGGCAGGACTAGCTGGGCACCAGTGGCTTATGCCTATAATCCTAGGTAACTCAGAAGGCTGAGATCTGAGGATGGTAGTTCAAAGCCAGACCAGTCAGGAATATCTATGAGACTCTCATCTCCAATTATCACCAAAAAGCTGGAAGTGGAACTGTGGCTTAAGTGATAGATCACTAGCTTTGAACACAAAAGCTCAGGGATGGTGCCCAGGCCCTAAGTTCAAGCGTCAGGATGGACCAGCACATACACACATACACACATCACACATCACACACACACACACACATCACACACACACACACACACACACACACACACACACACACATCACACACACACACACAGCAGGACTAGGAGCTGGATACTTCATATTCTGATCTCTGCTTTGAGGTGAGATTAGAAAGGCCAGGCTTGAGTAGGAGAAGGTGCTATGCCATAGATAGGCAGCTGGACCATGACCCAGCTGCAAAACAAATGGGGGGAGGCTGCTGGAGGAGGGAAAGTGGAATTTGAGTGTGGCTCTATGGAGCTTCTAAGTCACAGGTTATGGGTATGGAGTAATGGGGAGCTTCCAGCCATCTTGTCTCTAGAAGAGATGTCTGGTTGAGAGGAATTTTGAATCTCTTCCTCCGGATGGGAATGAGATTTTAGACTATATTATGATTACATTCTCCTGGCACATAAAAAGCCCAAGCAGAATGAGATGAAACCCCATGTCTGTTGTAAATTAGAATGCTCTTGGATAGGCACTGGCAGCTGATGCTTGTCAACCTAGCTACTGCGGAGGCTGAAGTTGAGAGGAATGTAGTTCCAGCCCAGCCCTGGCAGAAAGAAAATCCATGATTTTCTGCCTCAATGAAAGAAACTAGGCATAATAATAAACACCTAGTATCCTAACTATCCTGGGAAGCAAAACATAGGAGGATTGCTGTTCAAGCACACACCTGAAGTAAGATCCTGTCTCAAAAATAACCAGTTTAAAACATAAGTTTAGCAGTACTGCTAAAACAAAACAAAACAACAACAACAAAAAAACAGTTCCTGATTTAAAAAGTGGCTCTTCTATTTACTTATTTATTTAGTTGGTTGTAGGGCCTAAATTTGGGCCTGGGCTCTGTCCCTCAGCATTCCGGCTCAAGGCTAGCATTTGAGCCACAATGCCACTTCTGGCTTTTTCTGCGTATGTGGTGCTGAGGAATCAAACATAGGACCTCATGAATGCAAGGCAAGCATTCTACCACTGAGCCACCTTTCCAGCCCTTTTTAATTTTTTTATTGTAAAGATACTGTACAGAGGGCTTATAGTATCACGAGTAAGGTAATCAGTACATCTCCTATCAAGCATTGTTACCCCGTACTACCCATTCCCTCCACACCTCCAAAAATGGTTATTCTTAATTAATTTTAGATAGCAAACTGAAAAGATTTGCCAAGCTAAAATAAATAAATAAATAAATGGCTCTGCTGTTTCAATCTGTATGGATTTTGTTTTCAATATTCCCTTAGTAATGCCAAATAACAATCAGTTACAAGCATTATAAATAACCTCAAGATAGGCTAAGGCATACAGAAGGATGTGTATAGGTTATATGAAAATAGATTTTTAGCATCTTCCATCGTCCTGGAACCAATTTTCCCATAAATACTGAGGGGCATCTGTGTACATCTTGCCAGTCTCTGTTAGATCATGCTTTAAAGAGAAATCATTGTTAAGTTGCTACTCAGAAAGAACTGAATGAACTCAATACAATGTGGTAAGAAACAGTGACTGATTTTCAGTCAACATAGGCAATTCCCTTAGGCTGGATGTTCATATCTCCAGTTCTTATAGACATCTCCTATTTCGAAGCATATCTATTTTTTCTTTTTGCTTCTATAACTTACGTGCAACTTTAGGCAATGATCCGAATCTTGGATTAGCTGACAAGTAACCTAGAAGTAATATGTATACACAATTATTTCATTCATCATATATTTAAATTTATAAAGAAAACTTCAAAACTTAAGACATAACATACATTAAATGTACATATATTTTAGAAGAATTATGATTCTTTGTGCTGAATTTATACCTCTAACGGCCCTTTTAGATGAGTACTAGCTTTAAAGTTAGAAAAGAATGGGAAACCCATAATTCAAGACAGATTTAAACTGAGTTCAAAGAAGCTAGTCAGTGCTCTCTCCTCTTTTTTAAAAATATTTTTATTGAGATTAAATGATTGCATAAATGTCACAGTATTGTGAGATAGTGATACTTAAAGTCACAAACACATTTTAACCTTCACGAGGCAAGTTGTCATTATCATTGTCTATAAAGTTTGTGAATTCTATAAGCTCTGACAATACAACTATTTCTTCCACATCAGGTGATATATACATTTCTTTTCTTTTGCTTAGTGTAAGATGTTCCCTCTTCCCCACGGATTCCCTCCCTCCCATTGCTGCCCTTTAGTTACTTAGTTCACTTTCATCAATGTCCAGTACAGCTGATGGGCCCCTCTGTTGTATGTCTTCCCATTTCCCTCTGATTCTTTGTCCTCCTCCTATCTCCCCTCAGATGTGCACATATATATATACCATATATGTGGTCAAGAACACGGAGTCATTTAGTAATGATATGACAAAATGAATGGAGGTCCCTTGTCTCTCGAGTCTTTTACTTTGTCGTATCTCCTTGCATGTTGGATTTAACATCCACATATCCGGGAGACCATGTGCCCTTTCTCTTTTTGCTCTTGGCTTACCTCGCTCAAAATGATTTTTTCTAGTTCCATCCATTTCCCTGCGAATGCCATTATTTTGTCCTTTCTGATGGCTGCATGATATTCCATTGTATATAGGTACCACAATTTTTGGATCTATTCGTCTGTAGTGGGGCATCTGGGTTGTTTCCATATCTTAGTTATTGTGAACAGTGCTGCAATGAACATGGAGGTGCATGTGTCCTTGTATCCTGGTTCCTGTTGCTCAGGGTAGAGGCCTGGGTGTGGTATGGCTGGGTCACAGGGGAGGTCTATATTTAGCTATAATATCATGTCATCTGCAAAAAGGGATAGTTTAACTTCTTCCTTCCCTATGCAGATCTCTTTAATGCCTTTTTTGTTTTGTTTTGTTTTTGAAGCATGTGGGTATTAAACTCATGGCCTCAGGTTTTCTAGGCTGAATCAGTGTTGTTTTAAGATATTGTGTTTGTGGAAATTTATTATAGCAGCTGTAGAGAACTAATACATAATCCTGAAAAAATATACTTTTACAGATGTAAGCAAAGATAGATTTTAGGTAGTTTAATATTTATAAAACACCTAATAGGCCATTTCTTTTCTGTGTAAAAAATGGTCTGACAAAGGCTTGCTGATGATTAATGAATATATTTCTATAAAAATTCTATCTTCATACAATGCTCAATAGGAAATATAGTCATTACCTTGCTCATGTAACTGTAACCCCTCTGTATAGCATTCTTACAATAAAAAATGTACAAAAAATTCTATCTTCAGCTGGGCACTCATAGTCTAACAGGTGTAATTCTAGCTACTTAGTAGGCTGAGATCTAAGGATGAAGGTTTGAAGCCAGCTGGGGCAGGAAAGTCTGTGAGACTTTCTATCTTTAATTAATCACCAAAAGAACCCCAGAAGAAGAGCTGTGGCTCAAGTGGTAAAGGGCCAGCCTCGAGTAAACAAGCTGAGGGTCAGTGCCCAGCCTGTGAATTCAAGGCCCAGGATTCTCCTATCCCAGTGCTATCTTCAAGTTATAAACATAATACCATATATCATGCATAATATGAAAGTAGATTGTTCTATACACATGGCTTCTATGGTCTTTGAGATCACACACACACACACACACACACACACACACACACACACACACACACACACACACACACAGAACCAGGATATTTTCCTTATTCCTTTAAAAATTATGGTAATTAGCACAATAAATGAGCTTAAACAGAGTGAGGTACTTCATTGTGTGGGTACTTTATTATGTGTGTTCTCTGGCAGGAGAAGACAAAGAGAAAGGTGGGAATTGGTAGGAAAAGTTAGAGGCAAGCTGAGGTCTTGTGGGGAGATGCAAGGTAGTGGCCAGAACATATGGTCTTAAGTGCAAATCAGACAAGGTGCTAGTCCTCAGGGATTGTAGCCTGTTCAGGACAAATGGCTTGGTGGCTTGGGCTGGGTTTCAGGCCTACTCACCTCTCTGCATGGAGCACTTTTGTACAGTGAAGGATCTATCTAGCCAAAAACAGAGGCCCTGGGAGACAAAGTGACGTAATACAGACTACAGACTAAGAAGTTTCCTGTGGCTATTGTAACAAATTATTACAAACTCAGTGGCTTAAAACAACATGAAATTTTTGCCTAGAGTTCTTGAGTTAGAAGTCCAAAATCATATTCATTGAGTTAAAGCAACGTAGTAACTAACCATATTCTTTAAATGAGCTGTTTTCCTTTCGGAGACTCCAGGGTTTCTATTCCCCTCCTCCCCCCCCCCCCCCCATCCTAGAGAACCCATATTCCTCAGCTTTTATCCTCATTCTGTTTTCTTCAAAGCCAGTTGATTCCTCATGGTGCCATCCTGCTGGTTCTTCCTTTTGAGCCCCTTTGTTATTTTCAAAGGTCCCTTCCTTGATTATATTACCCCCTCCAGGATAATCTCCCTATTTTAAGATTGATAATTCCATCTGCAACTTTAACTTGCCTTTGCCAGGCAATCTTATATATTCACTCATTCTGGATTAAGACTTCTTCTTGAGGTGTGTGGGGGATGATGACTTAGGCTAAAACTTGGCAAATGCTTACATGAAAAAAGAAATCCTTTACCAAACCAAAAACCAAAAGTGCTTAATAGCCAAAAAACTGCTAGGAGGATCACAGAAAGCTGAGCTCTTGGAAGTTTACCTATTGAAAAACATTGACTCTTACCTTGGTGGACAAGTCCCTGGGTGACAAGCATGCTTATAAGAGAAAAAGGCAGAGCTGTAAAAGAAAAACACCCTTCAGTACTGGTATCTTAAAAGATGGCCCTTCACCTAGAAGTCAGAGATAGGAATTCCCAGCTTTTCCTCTTGCCTTACTTGGCAGTGAATTTTAATCATTTGCTATTTTACTCATTCAACAAATATTTATTTTTGGTCTGGGTCTGGGCGCTGTCAGTGAGCTCTTCAGCTCAAGGCTAGTGCTCTATCACTTAAGCCACAGCACCACTTCTGAGTTTCTGATGATTAATTGGAGATAAGAGTCTCATGGACTTTTGTGCTCAGAGTGGCTTTTAACCATGACCCTCAGATCTCAGCCTCCTGAGTAGCTAGGATTACAGGCATGAGCCACCGGAGCCGGTAAATATTTTTGTATGGTGTAACCCAGTCACTCAGCTGAATGCACTGCACTATTTGACCGAATCTAAAATCCTTTTCTGTTCCGTTTCTGGCATTCATGTTGACTGAGTGCTGTAGGCATCTTAGGGCACATATTGTGCACTTAACTTGCATTTGGGAGTTATGCTTTTTTCTTTCCTCCTTCCTTGCTTCCTACCCTCCTTTCTTCTCTGCCTGCCTGCTTTCCTTCCTTCCTTCCTTCTTTCCGTGCTGCTCCTCAGACCTGAATGCAGGACCTTGTGCTCTTACAAGGCTGGCATTCTACCATTTGACCCACACCTCTAGTTCCTTTTTGTTTTTTGTGTGATACTAGAGATTGAACCCAGAGTCTTGTGCTTGCAACTAAGCAAGTGCTCTAGCTCTTAAGCAATACCTCTAGCCTAAGAGCTGCCTTTACATACATAGTTTGATATTTACTTTTTATTGTCTTTTCCTTTCTTCTTTTCTGCTTTCATGTCTTCTTTTTTTCTTTTTACCTTCCTTTCCTCCTCCCTTCCTTTCTTCCTTCCCTCCTTCCCTTTCTCTATCCCTTACTTCCTCTTTGCCTCTGACCCTATCTTCTTTCATTTTTGACAGAGAATGTTACATAGCCCAGCAAGCTTTGAATTTGGGATCCTCTGGCTTCAGCTTTCCACATGTTGGGATTACCACTGGGTATCTCCAAGCCTGGATGGTTTTGCATTTTCAACCCTACAAAATTCTGTAAGATTGTTAAGTTAGCCAGTAAACTCCCAAAGAGCCTTATCTAAATTCATTAATTCTGAAAAATTATCTTTCTATATCATCTCTTTACACATTAATTTCTTTATCCATTTTCCCTTTTTATCTCCTAGTCACTTAAATTTTACAAACATCATAGGTTTTCATCATTGACTATTTCAGCGGTAATTTCTAAGAACGAGATCATTCCCTTGCATAATCACAAACCATTAGCATCCAAGAAATTTACATTCCTTCAACAGCCATACTCATGAAAAAATGATACTGATTGATATAAAATCTGCGCTTAAATTTGTCCAACTGGCCCAGCAATGTCTTTAATGTTTTTCTAAGGCAAAAAAAAAAAATCAAGGATCATACATTATATTTGCTACCTAATCTACTTTCATCTAAGACTGCTCCCTGTTTGTTTTGATTTTTGTCTTTCATGACATCTCTCCCCTTACCCCAATTTGGATTTTTGCCTGGAGATTACAAGAAGACTATGTTCATGTCAAACATATGCAGTGTTTAGCTATGGTTTGTTATCATAGGTAATGTAGTTTGTAAAAAGCAATTTCTAGTTCTGATAAAAGATGTTGAAGGATTTCTTCCAAAAGCAAAGAGAAGTGATAAACATCTATCTGTTCCTAGCAACCGAGACAAGTCACATAGAAACTCATTTTTTCCACTCATAGATAGTGAGCAGGTAACAGGAAAATGGGTCATACTGGTGGGAAAATTGTTTACCTAGGGCTCAATTAAAGTATTTGCTCAGAGGCTGTCAGAAAAGATTAATTTCTAGAAACACAATCAGTAATCATGGTAAGGCTAGAGAATATCAACTTCTAGAGAAGGTTACTCCTCAAGCTGTTGATAATGAATTTGAGTGACTTATGAAATCAGCAATGTTATACAATATTAAGGCTGAGTCTATAGGCTTTATTGTACCATTTTCAAATGATGAATCATTAATGTTTTAATTGAAGAAATCTGAAAGCATAGCTTGTATTCATGCTTTTGTCTAATAGCAGGTCAGCGCAGAACAAGGAAACAACTCAGCAGAAAAGGAGATTCATAGACAACATAAGATAAATGTTAACAAAACACTGCCACTTTCCATTTGGTCAGTAAATATTTATGAGGCATTTTCTATGTGTAAGACACTGTCCAAAATGCTCGTATAAAGTTCCAGATGAACTTGACATTATTTTTGAGCTGGTAGAATCACAACTCTTCGATAGTTAAGTTCTATATAATATTCTTGGTACATGTTCCTTTTCACATCAGGGAAAGTTATATGTGCATCATTTTTTGCTAAGTGAGGTTAACTGCTCACTAATCAGATATTATCTCTGTCCCCAAAAGAATCTCACATGGATTTAATGTTCTAAACATCTCTAAGTATGCAAGCACTTTAGAGACTTATACAAAACCCTGCTCAAAAACAAATCCTCGTTACATCCTAACAACTTACAGTTAGAGCAGTTTATTGTAGTGTATACAGTGTTAATTAAGATGCAGAAGAATGCAATTACCTCTTTTCCAGAAACTTTCTTCCTGACATTCTCGGATAATCTTGGCAATCTCTCCTTTATGGATGTGCATTTTTGATTTTGGACAAAACAACAGGCTCTACAGGGAAAGATATGGTAAGTTAATGGTGATCAAGATGGGTGTGTGGCACACTCTGATAATTGCACACTTGGGAGGCTGAGACAGAAAAATCCCAAGTTCAAGTTCAGTGAGACTCTATCTCAAAACAAAAACTAACAACAACAAAAAGAAGGAATCACCACCAACAAAAACTGAGATCATCAGAAAAGTTTTGTTTTCTCTGGAACCACTGGCTCCTGTCCAGCTTAAGTGCATTTTTGAATAGTGAAAATTTCACCTTATGATGGATTTATGGGGATATAACCCCATTGTAAGTCAAGGAGTAGTGACATATTTGTTCTTGCCCAGGTTGTAGCTACAGCAGAAATATGTCTTCTACACACACACACACACACACACACACACACACACACACACACTCAACTACCACAATTCCTATCAGTCCTGAAGGCAGGATAAGGGTTTTTGCAGAGTCTATTTTAAGGAGCTCTGGTGACTGTTTTCTGTAGAGCCATACACGTTTCATGGTTCTCCATTTCAGAGGCAGCTCAGGTGTTCAAATTCTTTTCCTTGTTACCTGTTATCATTTGTTTATTTGCTCCTCCTATATATTGCTCTTTAAGCATTATCTTCTCCATAACACAATAAGAAAGGTAACTCCAGAGAAACCACAAATTCCATTTACCTATCAACAACTTGTCTATTTTTCACTTATATGCTCCTGATAACACATTATAGCCATCCCTACCAAGTTGGAAAAATGTGCTCATGTTAATATTTGGTTCTCCATCTGATGGCTAATTAGTAATTAAGGATTCTGCTTCACTAACAGCAACATCTGTCACCGGCGTATGCTCAGTATGACTACCCTCCGTAACCAACACAGAAAAATAAACCCAGTGTATCCTTCTATTAGAGACAAACAAAGGTGTGGACCTGCCACAGAAAATTTTTTCCATCATCAACAGCCTCCATGAGTTCCTGGACTCTGAACAGCAAAGAGTTGGTAAATAAGAAAGTAATTCTGTAAATGAAATTGAAAAGCTTTCTTAGCAAGATAGCCCCAAATTACCTTTTAATTGTTCATTCCATTTTACCTGCCCCAACCTAACTCAGGTTGATAAAAACAGTAAGGTGACCAAGTGAAACTTCCATAAGTTGGCAGACCTTCAAGTAAAAATATACCTTCTTGCCCAGTGATGGCAAGTGGTGATCTTTCTCTTGGTTTCCATGGGTAGACACTGAAGCCATGATGAGTCTGTCCTCACTTCTTTCTTGTTCAGTCCTCTGGTTAGAGTCTAAGGAAAGAGAAACACTGTGTTATGACTGAATGTCTGCATATCAGTGCTCTATATATCTATGTCTGGGTATCAACGATACTTATTTGGAACTTATTTGTATTTCAGCATTAGCCTTAATCTGCCACTATCTACAAACTTAATTTCTAAAATTCACTTTTTTTTTTGTCGGTTGTGGGGCTTGAACTCTGGGCCTACGTGCTGTCCCTCAGCTCTTCAGCTCAAGGCTAGCACTCTACCACTTGAGCCACAGTGCCACTTCCAGTTTTCTGGAGATAAGAGTCTCATGGTCTTTCCTGTGCAGGCTGGTTTTGAACCATGATCCAGAGGTCTCAGCCTCCTGAGTGGCTAAGATTACAGCGTGAGCCATCAGTGCCTGGCTAAAATTCACTTTTGTACTATCTTTCTCTCTCTCATGACTGATCAGATCTCTAATAGGATGAAATGTCACTCTGTACATGTGCTTTACTGTCTATAAATTATGTCCTAAAAGGTATTTTTATTTTATTACAAGCTCCTTAACTGTACAATATTTAACAGGATCTATTCTGTGCCCAGCTTTAGGATACAAAGGCAATTAAGATAAAGCTGCTGCTGAAGGAGCTCACAGTTGAAAGGGGAAGAGAGTAAAGTCCACAGTTGTTGCGGTAGAGAAGGGCCGCCTCCCCTGAGGGCCACTACAGGCCTTTAGGAAAGAGAGAAAAGTCTATTCTTTTAGGCTTAAAGATTCCTCGGAGACTAGGACTCCTGAGAGTTCCCATGTATACAGGGGCGTGGGCTCCTGGGGCAGGAGGACTGATTTGGAAGGTAGAAGACTAAGCAAGTTGCTGCAGACACCTGAGCAATTCCTTTGGGTTTGGAAATGTGATTTGAGTATCAGTGAGAGCAAATCCTGGAATTAGCCAGCCAAGATTAGAACACAAGAGGATTTGGATCACAAGTCGCCATATAGGGATGAACAGCAGAGATGAATTTGGGAAATGCCCACACAGGGAGGAGAGACAAAACAAAGAACTTGAATAAACTTGCCTCTAAAGATGACTGGATGTGAACATTGAGCCCATGAGAAGAAAAGCACCTAAGCCAAAGAAATGACTGCTGCAGAGGGTCGGGAGGTACAGGAGGAGGGGATGAATCATCACAGAAATCACATGGCTCAGGGAAGCAGATCCCGGGGTGGGCACAGATGGACACACTGTAGGTAGACTGTGGCCCTGCTCCCCATCTCCTCTGTGATCTCTGCGGCCTGTAGCCCTGGGCTATCATGACCCTCTGCAAAACGACCACGAAGACACAGTTCTGTTTCCTACATTCATTATTCAGCTGCGAGGCAGATGAGCCCAGGGTGGCTACTTGCACCAAATTCCATCTTTCACGGTGCAGTGCCCGTGGACCCCGGCTTCCCATTCTGACTCTCTTCCTTGTCTCCCAGCCAGCGACAGAATGTGTCTCCGCCTCAGCTTTCCCACTCCTGTTCAGGGGGGCATACTGGGACCAGCCGAGGGTGCAGGGTGAGCGCTCAGGACCAGCCCCGGGCGCGCACAAGGGCGGTTAAAGGGGGAGCTGTCAGATTTCCCCGTGGCCACCATCTCATTGCCTGCGGATCCCAGGCCGTCTTTGCTGACTTCCAGCCCAATGAGACTTGTTTTTTGCTCAGCCGGCCCTGGGGCCTTTGCAAAAATCAAGAAGCTAGGTCCCCGTGACCCGTGACCCCGGTTACTCCCCTTCCCCCTCCCTCCCATCCCCGTCCCCATCCAAGTCCTCTGAGGGCCCCGCCGTCCAGGCCCATGCGCAGGTCGGTCCTTCGGCCCTGGAAGTGGGGGCTGGGGGGGCTGGGTGACCGGGGACCACGCTGGCAGGTGGGCAGGGGCGAGCAGGATGGGGGACAGGCGACAGGAAGGACGGGCGACAGGATTGAGGTCACCGCGCTTTCGGATGGGGGTGGAATGGCCTCCAGCCCCCAGCTCCCCCCTCCCCGGGCCCCGGCCGGCCCAAAGGGGGCTGGGGTGCCGCGGGATCGAGCCGCCCGCTGCCCCAGCCTGCCACCCCGAGCCGGGCAGGCCGCGGAAGGAGGCCGGCCCCGAGCCCCCCGGGGCCGGGAAAGCCCGCCCAGGAGGCCGCCCGCCCAGGCTGCCTCCGCCGCTGGCCCCGGCCGCCCCCCGGCCCCCCAGGGTCCCCCCTCGGCCCTCACCTCTCTCCGCAGGCGCTGCCGGCTCCACTGGCCCGAGTCCGTCCCGGTCCTTCCCCTCTTCCTCCGGCTCCGCCTCCGCCTCGCGCACCCGGCCCGCACCTGCCGGCCCTGCCCTGTGCGTGACAGCAAAGAAAGGCTGAAACCCGCTCTTTCCAGATCCGCCCCACGCTCCTCCCCCAGACTTGTCCTGGCACCTGGGAGATCCTAACTTCTTTCTTCTTCCACCCCTCCCCCCCCCTCTCCCTTCCCTCCCCTTCCCCCCTCCCATTCCTCCCTCCTCCTCCTCCACCCTCCTCCACCCTCTCCTCTGCCGGTCCTGGGGCTTGAACTCTGGGCCTGGGCACTGTCCCTCAGCTCTTCAGCTCAAGGCAAGTGCTCTACCACCACTTCTGGCTTTTTCTGCTTATGTGGTGCTGAGGAATCGAACCCAGGGCCTCATGCATACAAGGCAAGTGATCTACCACTGAGCCACCTTCCCAGCCTCCTTCCCCCCACCCCCCCCTTCCCCAAAGGTCAGAACTTGAGCCACAGCTCCACTTCTGACTTTTTGGTCATTAACTGGAGATAAGAGTCTCAAAGACTTTTCTGCCCAGGCTTGGCTTCAAACTAAGATCCTCAGCTCTCAGCCTCCTGAGTAGCAGGCATTACTAACTAGTAGCTAGGCAGTAAGCATTTTCCCATGAACATTTCTTTCCTTCCAAAGCAGGAACAATTCCCCCCCCCCCCCCCCCATTTACAGCCACCTCTCTGAGGTCCTGTTCATAGGCCCCAAAGAGTGAGCACCATTATTTTCTTTTAAGACCTGTTCCTAGGGACCAGTTTCCAGGCTGTGCAAAATGACACAGAAGTTTGGAGTCAAACTCAGGCCGGGTGGCTCCCTAGCTTTCCCTTTGCATGGCTTTATCCTTCCCACTGATTCTATTCCAAGCCTTTGACCTGTGAGGGGAGGGTGGTGCTGGGCTGGAGACCAGATCGGGCAGTTCTCCTGCCTCTATCATCTTCCCATCCTCACCTAGGACTCCTTGCTGGGCTGAGCTGTTGCCTCACCTTGACCTTTGCTCTTGTCCTGACTGGCCCCCATGCCTCTGCCTCAGCCCTAACCCAAGCTCATCCCTCAACTGTGCCTCTCCCCTGGGTGGGGAGGTGCAGCGAGACCACTCAGTCCGCAGTGAAAATGTAAAAGATTTCATTGAGCAAAAAGTGCTGATGAGCCAGGACGGCACCTGGAGTGGGGATCCCAGGTTTTAGCCAATGATTGTTACAAGAAATGCCCACTTAAGTTTAAATTTCCCGCCAAGGTTTTGCTGGTGGGAAGCAGGGGAATAGAAACAAAGGGTGGTGATGGTTCTGTTGGGTTAGGGCTAATCTTGCTCAGAAAACAGCAGAAGCAGAGTTACAGAATTACAGGTTACCAAGTTACAGAGTTACAGTTAGAGTTACTAGCTAAAGTAACAAGTTACCAGGGAAGTCTTATCCACAGCACACTTACATTTATATCTTAAAATCATTCATTATCTATTTTACACAATCCAAGTCAAATATCATATTCCATCTTTACTTCCTCTGCCATATCCCACCCCCCCCCTCCCCACTCTGGGCTCTTTTTCTGTTCCTCATGTTCACTTAGTTTTTCTTTTTTGGTGCCAGTACTGGGTCTTGAACTCAAGATCTCCTACTCTTGCTTAGGTTTTTCACTCAAGATAGGCTTTGAACCACTTGAGCCATGCCTTTGCTTTTGCCTTTTTTGATGGTTGACTGCTTTCAAACCGTGAGTCTCAGATCTCAGCCTCCTGAGTAGCTAGGATTACAGGTGTGAGCTTCTGGTAACCAGCCCACTTGGCTCTTTTCCACCTGAGGCCTGGCATGGAGCCCTCCCACTACCTGGATCCTTTCTTGTACAGCCTGTTCAGCTCTACTGCTACTCATGCTTCTTGATTTTTCCTCAGGACGACCCCCCTGGCCTACCAGCCTGGCTTAAAGCAGGCTGGCTTTCTTCTTTTCACAGCACAGGAAGCTATTGTTTTCTCTCATAGCACCTCTCACATATAGTTCTTGTATATTTATTCATGTGTATGTCTAACAAGGAAAAATCTAAATAAACTCTCTTAACTTCCCTGGCTTTTAGTGAACTTCAAAAGAAGGTCACTATTTCAAAGTCACACAAATGAGCTTCTGTACCTTAACCTTTGGGTCAGATTTCTGCTCACTTCCACATGTGGTCATGTTAATCATTTAATGAATGTTAGGAATTGGTCATACACCTGATTGCCCCTTGATAGAAAATGATTTAAACTACAAACAGGCACCTTTCCCTCACAGCCATAAAACTGCCCTTGCTACAAACTTGCGGAATCTGCATCCTCTCCTACCCCTTTCCCTCTCCCCAAACATAATCAGTGGTTGTAAAAGACATAACCTGTGAACTGAAGGCCCTATAGTTTGTGCACACGTCTGCTAAAAGCAGATGCTTCCTTGTAACTCAAGGAAAGATTCAATCTCAGCACAACAGCCCCTTCCCCTGTTCTCATCCTGCCCCTTTCCTGTGACAAACTATCCTGCCCTGCCTGACTTCAGTCTGTCTGCCTAATCAAAGGAGACCTCCTGTGTAAGAGAGCAGCATATCATTGTCTCTGCTGGAGGTCTCTAGTGTCCCTCTTAGGCTTTTACCCAAAATAAAAGGCAATCAGTCTGTTGAGTTCGCTTTCTGCCCTTTCTTTATTCTAATATCCTTATGATTCAGATTCCCCTAACTTTACCTACCACAATAGTCTGCATTGTTTACCACTGTGTTCTTAGCATCTCAGATAAAGAAAGGTATTTGTAGAATGAACAAAGTAATAAATGAGCCTAGGTTAAGAGATACGCTTGTTTCGTTGGACTTGTGTATTGTTAAGTTCTGGCTTATTTTCCTTTTACCTCTTTTAATTATGAAACTAGAGGGGATAGAGTTCTGTTAATTTTATATTGGGTTACTAGCAGTCAGAAATGAATATGCCTTTGCCATTTTGTTGTCTGAAGGGATCAGCTTTCTAATTGTTTTTGTGTCTTAAATAAGCAATCCTCCATTACACAGAAATCTAACGTCTAGCAAATACCCTAAGTTGCATTTGTCCGATAGCATTTTGCAGTACAGTACATGCTCGACTTCCATCTCAGAATGTTCCAGAAAATTACCTTAAATAGTGAGAAGTACCGCATGCAATGTGTAAGGATTGAGTCTCTCAGTTGGTATTTGTTGGGAATATCTGATCTGTTTAAGTATGGTTGGCAGTATGAGCAGAGGCATACGGGCAAGAAAAGACCTGGGCCCTTGTCAGAAAGGATGCCTTGCTTCCTGAGGCCTAGGCTTGCCCTATGCTGGAATGCTGTGCAGAACGGAATCTGGCAGACTCCAGCTTCAACTCTTGCTGTATTTTTACATCATCCTCAGGAAGCATTCAAATTCATTAGCGGGGCCTGCCAAGTCAAAACCTAGGACTGCCCGGGGCCCTGTGGAAAGTTCTCTTCTCTCATGCTTTTGCATGAACTGTAGCTAAGCCTGAATCAATCTTTCTCTGCTTTTCTACAATTTCTAGTACTTAAAACAACAACAACAACAACAAACCCCTCAGCCCTAGGGTTACCTCCTTTTGGAAGTCTTGCCTGTACTCAAGGTTAATTTTTCACCTTCTGTGCTGCCCTGGCGTTCTGCAACGGATGCCTACTATGCTGCTTCTATGCATATATGTGTAGCTACTAACTGTGACATCCATAACATATAGTAAGCACTCTATGCCAGGCACTTTCATTATTCTGCTTCTGTTGCTATACTAAAACATTGAAGATGGGTGCGAATAGCTCACCCCTGTAATCAGAGCTACTCAGGAGACTGAGATCTGAGGATCATAAATTGAAACCAGCCCAGGCAGGAAAGTCCATGAGACTCTTATCTCCAATTAGCCACCAAAAAAAAAAAAAAAAGCCAGAAATGGCTCAAGTGATAGAGTCCTAGTCTTGAGCAGAAAAAAGAGTTCAGGGACAGTGTCTGTGCCCTGAGTTCAAGCCCCAGTAACAGCACCAAAAGCAAACACACACAAATAGAAGAAACAGGGCTGGGAAGGTGGCTCAGTGGTAGAGTGCTTGCCTTGCATGCATGAGGCCCTAGGTTCAATTCCTCAGTACCACGTAAGCAGAAAAAGTTGGAAGTGGCTCAAGTGGTAGAGTGTTAGTCTTGAGCTGAAGAACTGAGGTACAACACCTAGGCCCAGAGATCAAGCCCCATGACAGAAGAAGAAAAAGAAGGAGAAGAAGGAGAAGGAGGAGGAGGAGGAGGAGGAGAAGCAGAAGAAGAAGCAGAAGCAGAAGCAGAAGCAGGAGGAGGAGGAGGAGGAGGAGCAGCAGCAGCAGCAGCAGCAGCATGAAAGGCTGGGTACTTTATGAAGACAGGAAGTTTACTTAGCTCACAATATTTTGGAGACAGAAAGTCTAAGATTAGGCAGCACAATTGGTACTGCCTCTGGTAAGTGCTTAATGGTGGGTGATTTCATTATGATGAGACTGGAAGCTGAAGAAGAATTTAGGAGCCAGGGCTACAATTTCATAACAATGTACTGTTGTGGGATTAATTGGGCTCTCAAAAGGACTACCTTAATCTCTTCCAAAAATGGCACCACCTCCCAACAGGCCACGTTGAGGACCAGGCTTCATACACACCCATCCTGGGGCAGGGAGGAGGCACTTAAAATCATCTCAAATCATAGCATCACTCTCCTGAGTGAGCTTGTCATCTTTGAACTGTAGCCCCAGAGTTCTATGTGGGGCAGAAGGAAGGCAGCCAGTCACATGAACAGTGTCCAGTATGGGAATGAGGCCCCCAGCCCGAGCTGCATAGCAATGGCACCCTGCTGTCACTCAGCAGCCTTGGCACCTCACAAGGACCCAAGGGGCCCCTTGTCACACCCTCTTAATGCTGGCTCCTGGATGGCAGCTGTTTCAGTAACTGGTACATTGTATAAGTGCATGAAGAATGATGAGGAGTGGATTTTAATGAGGTGCAGAATAAAAATGAATAATGCATGCCTTTTATTGGAAGAGACTCTTATTCCTTCCTTCCTTTCTTCCTTCCTTCTTTCCTTCCTTCCTCCCTCCCGCCTTCTCTCTCTCCCTCCATTCCTTCCTTCTTTCCTTCCTTTCTTCCCTCCCTCTCTCTTTCTTTCTTTCCTTCCTTACTCTCTCCCTCTCTTTCTCCCTATCTTTCTCTTTCTCCTTCCCTCTCTTTCTGTCTCTCCTTCCTTCCTCCCTCCTCTCTTTCTTTCTCTCTTCTTCCTTCCCTCTCCCTCTCTCTCCTTTTTCTTCTTTCTTTCTTTCTCTCTTTCTTTCTTTCCTTGATGTTTTTAGATAGGTCTGTTTATGTAGCTCAAGCTGGCCTGAAACTCCCAATCCTCTTGTCTTAGCCTGCTGAGTGCTAGGATTACAGGTATATACCACCACACCAGGCCCTTCTTCCCCTCCCTCCTTCCCTCCCTCCTTCCTTCCTTTCTTCCCTCTCCTCCCTCCCCTCTCTCCACCCCCCCATCCTCCTCCTTTTGTCAGCCATGGGGTTTGAACTCAGGGCTTGGGCACTGACAATGAGCTCTTTTGCTCAATGCTAACACTCTACCACTTTGAGCCACAGTCTGGTTTTCTGGTGCTTAATTGGAGATAAGAGTCTCACGGACTTTCTTGCCTCTGCTGGCCTTGAACCATGATCCTCAGGTCCTAGCCTCTGTAGCTAGGATGACAGCGTGAGCCACCAGAGCCTAGCTTCTTTCTTCTTTTTTCTTCTTCTGAAAATGCCTTTATTCAAGTAATTCTCTAAGAAGATTGTTCAATTGCCTTCCTCAGTTCATTCCTTTGTTCTTTCATTCCTTTCTTCTTTTCTTTTTTCCTTTTTCCTTCCCCCCTCCCCCTTTTCTTTCCTTTCTTTCCTTTCCTTTCCTTTCTTTATCTCCCTCTTTTTCTTTCTTCTGTCTTGTGACCCTGGGGATTGAATTTACAGCCTTGACCTTGCTAAGAAGTGCTCTACCATATCCTTAATTCCCCTCCTTTAAAAAAAAAACCATTAAACAACCCTAGAAATACATAGTACTATTCATATTTCACATACAAAAAAGCTGGGAGCAGGGCTGGGAAGGTGGCTCAGTGGTAGAGCGCTTGCCTTGCATGCATGAGGCCCTGGGTTCGATTCCTCAGCACCACATAAGCAGGGGAAAAAAAGCCAGAAGTGGTGCTGTGGCTCAAGTGGTAGAGCACTAGCCTTGAGCTGAAGAGCTGAGGGACAGCGCCAGGCCCAGAGTTCAGGCCCCACAACTGGACCCCGACCCCCTCCCCCCCAAAAAAAGTTGGGAGTCAGGTACCTATGGCTCATGCCAATAATCCTAGCTACTCTGGAGCCTGAGATCTGAGGATCACAGTTCAAAGCCAGCTGGTGCAGGAAAGTCCGTGAGACACTTATCTCTAAGTAACCACCAGAAAACTGGAAGTGATGGTGTGGCTTAAGTGGTAGAGTGCTTTCTTTGAGCTAGAGAGCTGAAGGACAGCGTCCAGGCCCAGAGTTCAAGCCCCATGACCGACAAAAAAAAGAAAAAAAGAAAAAGAAAATTAGGCACAGGAAAGATAAGTAACACGACCAAGGCTGTATCTGGGAAGTGGCAGCACCAGGATTCAGGCCGCAGTGGCCTGGTCCAGGCCTTATGTTAATACTTTGTACTACATGTTATGTATCCATAACATCTATTTTGCTCTGTCTGTCTCCTCACATAGACTAAAATATAACAAGTGATAAAATGGATGCCTAACAGCAAGGGGGAAGAGACACATAGCCGGCAGCTTAGGGGAGGTGGAGGGAGAAAGGACTATCCCAGGTTTGTTGAGCAGTAAGCCCTAGTGTAGGGATGGATTAAAACAAAATGCAAGCCTGGCACGGGTGGCTCACACCTGTAATCCTGGCTACTCAGGAGACTGAGATCTTGAGATTCTTAATTCAAAAGCCATCCCAGGAAGATAAATCTGAAAGATTCTTATCTTCAGTGAGCCAGCAAAAAGCTAGAAGTGGAGGTATGGCTCAAGTGATAGAGCACTAGCCTTGACCAAAAAAACAAGAGCTTGAGGTCATGAGTTGAGGCCCTGAGTTAAGTAGTGTGGTTTGTGCACACATGCACATACACACTCACACACGCATGCATGCACACACACATGCACACAGCATGCACACACACTCACACATGCATGCAGCACACACACACACGCATGCACGCACACATGCATGCACACACACATGCACACATGCACGCACATACAAACATGCAGGTAGAAATCTCTTGGGCCTCACCCACAACCACCTTGGTGTTTGGTAAAAGGACTCTGGCTGGTTTCCTGTGGGAGGTGGAGTCAGGATGAGAGACCTCTCTTCCTCAAGCATCTGCAGGAATCGGAGCAGTCTCCATGTTGCTATCCTTACTGCTGTCCCAACTCCACTGAGCATCTGCCTTGCTGTGTAAGGGGGTCTGTGCATCCGATGGTGAGTCACTCGTCCCCTTTCTGAGGAATACATAACATCAACTCTCACAGATGCAGAACAGTGGGGTTTAATGAGGTGTCACTGAGAGGGGTGCAGGGTCTGCTGGCTGAAGAAGTAAAGCTGCTGTCAGACAAGGCTCACTGCCAGCACTGCGCTTGACTTTCACACCATTAGCCCCCCCCTCCCCCTGTCCCCCTACCGGGTCCTGCCCAGCTCTGGCTGCTTGAGTTTCATCTGCAGTCGATGTTCAGACGGCCAGACTTGGCCAGAAGCACAGCAAGGCCTCCAAGATCATAATTTTGGCACAAATAGGGAAAGTCTGAAATATGAAGACATGTCCACATTGATTTGCTTGTGTCTCCAAGTCTTTCTTGAGACAAGCCTATCCTTTATTTCCCTCATAAATGTGAAAATAGACATTTCCAAAGCAAATTTACTTCTTTAATATTCCAGAACTGCTTTCCATAGCCTGTAAAATGCAAAGCTTGGAGTGTTTCTCTGGTAGCTAAGAAAGTGGAGGTGGGGGTGGGGCCGAGGCTCGTAATATCTCATGACAGTTTTTTTTTAATTATTTACTTTATGGTTACTACAGAGGTGATGTACAGAGGGGCAACGTTTATGTGAGTCAAGGAATGAGTGCATTTCCTTTCCTACACTGTCTTCTATTCCTTCATTCTCTCCCGGTCCCTCCTTCCCATCTTCACCCACAAGTTGTATCGTTCACTTTCATCAGTGTCCAGTGAGTGCTGCTGCTGTACATTTTCCCTCTTTCCCCCTTAAGTTCTGTGCCCTCCCCACAACCCTTCTGAAGATATAGACGTGATATACCATGTATAAAGTAAAGAAGACAGCATCATCAAAAAATAAGAACTGAAAAAGGAAAAAAAGCCTTGTTTCCATATCTTGGAGTTTGTTTCAGTATGTATATCATTTACATAAATACGAAGAGGCAGTTAGGCATTCCACCTTTTTGTTTTTCCCTTAAGAGTATCTGCTTTTGGTCTCATGTGTGTGAGTATCTAGAATCCTGTATAACTGATCATATCTCAATGCATTTTTAGATCTAATTTCTTCATACCCAAGAGAACATGAGCAGATATTTTTTAATCTTACCCATATGTTCATTGTCATCTTCATGTCCTAGTGTCTGTCCCAAGAGCCACCTCCCCGCTTCACTAGGAAAAGTACAGGAGATAAGCAGATTGAGTTCCTTGTAGGGGAGAATTCCAATGGAGAAGAGAAATTTATTCATCTAAATCCAGTTGATTGGTGGTTGAGGAAAAACTAGTAAAACTCCTTGGAAAGACTAACAAAATGAGTACTAGGAAATGGATATTTACCAGGGCAGGACAGTTCAAGAGGAAGGGGGTAGAATGAATGAGGGAACTGAGTAGAATGCAGGCATGTATATGCCATAAAACTGAGAAAAATAAGGGAAGGGCTGGGTGGAGGTGGGTGTGGGAAGATGTTGAAGGCATGACACACATCAGGATGCACCGTATACATAAATTGCTTTGTTAAATGGTTAAAAAAAAAATCAATACATAGCCTAAAAATTAAGAAAAACAAGAGAAGGGATAGGATGGGAGGGGTGGGTGAGAATATTAAAAGGAGTGATGTTGAGCAAGAGACACTGTCTTCATAAACTGCTCTGTTGAATGGCAACTCCTTCATACAACCACCTAAAGAAAATAAAAATACCTTTAAAAAGAAAAAGACTTCCTTTTAGAAGAGGATTTTCTAGAATCATCTAGAATCACCAGTAGTCTTTGATTCCACTCTCAAGAGTGTTGGGAGCTGTGTCAGTACCTGACAGGCCCACTAGGAACTACTCTGAGTCCTGCATACCGGTGTTCCCTCCCTCCCGTCTCCCAGGCAGCCTTACACCTCACCCCGCACACCCCTGCTCTGCCCTGGCAAGCTTATACCCACCCCGCCCTGCACACCCCTGCTCTGCCTGACAAGCTTATACTCACCCCGCGGTTCTCATTGGAGGTACCATAAAACCTAGGAACTTAAGACCTGGCTCAGGAGCTGGACTGCACAGAGTTCCAACTAATGTTCAACTAGGTCTGGGCCTAGAGATGGGGGATTGCTTGGGACAGAGCCTGGCACTTAGGTAGCTACGGACTTTCTTTATTTTTTGCTTTTTAAAAGCAAATGTGCTGGGGTTTTGTTGTTGTTGTTTCTTTTTTAATTTAATTTATTTATTTTGTTTATGTGGTACCAAGGAATCGAACCCAGGGCCCCATGCAGGCTAGGCAAGCCCTCTACTACTGAGCCACATTCCCACCCAGGACTTTTGAAGTATTTGCTCCATTTGCCCCAGGGAAGCCCCACATGACCTCCATATGTGTTGTACTCTAATGATCTCTTTATTTGCCTCCACTCTAGCATACAGGATGCCCAAAGGAAAGCAGAACTGTGTTCTTCACTGTCCTGGCTGTGCCTGGAAAACTACATTGAGCCATCAGGTGCTGGGATGTGTTCTCTGGCAGCCTGAGTGAATGGGAAATTTTCTCCTTGCCTCATTTCAAGGAAGTTGGCACAGGTGCCCCTACCACCAGAAAATGGTTAATGACTTGGGCACCATAGCAATATAAGGAACTCAGAAACAAAGCATGAAACTAGCATTGAAAAAAACCACCCCTCTATAGTATTTTATTGAGGGGACCCCCCCCACACACACATACACACACTGAGAGAAGTGGAAGCATCCTGGAGAGGTTTTGGAAGTTGTTTGAGAGGGGAAGAAGGAGGCACTGGCATGTTGGTACTGGAATAGTAGAGACCAGCCCTTCACTCAGTCCCACTGCTTGCCTGCGGCAGAGCCCTGAGTGAGTAGGTTCTTACAGCCTGGATCCTTCCAGGCTTGAACGACCTGCCTGTGTGTGCTTGTCCGGATGTGTGATATTTTATTTTTTCTTTTTTTTGGGGGGGGTCCGGTCGTGGGGCTTGAACTCTGGGCCTGGGCGCTGTCCCTCAGCTCTTCAGCTCAAGGCGAGCTCTCTACCGCTTAAGTCACAGCGCCACTTCCTGTTTTCTAGTGGTTTATTGGAGATAAGCGTCTCACGGACTTTCCTGCCTGGGCTGGCTTTGAACTGTGATCCTCAGATCTCAGCCTCCTAAGTAGCTAGGATTACAGGTGTGAGCCACCGGTGCCCGGCTTGAGTAGATTTCTTTTTGGACAATGCCACCCCTTTCCTTGTGCTCTTCCACTTTTTCCCTCCATCCCCATCCTAACTTGTATAGCTCATTTCCAGCATTTTCAAGTGTCTCATGAGTCCCACAGCTGCATTTGTTCACCTTTTGTCTTTCTGTTTCTATGCCTCCACTCTCAGTCCAAAGTCATTATCCAACCAATACCTGTTTTTCAGCTGACCATCAAAATGGCCCTTACATTGAGAAAGAAAAAGAAAAGGTCCCAGGTCTGGAACCTCACTAGAAATTTGCTATAAAATTGGCCTTGAACTGTGATCCTTCTTGACTTCCACCTCCTGATCATTCACTACTTTCTTGAGGGTATACACTGATCTCACCAACTGATGATTTCAGAAGAAGGAATTGGGCAAAGTGGCGATTCTTCTTCTTAAGTCCTTTTGGGAGCTTTTGCGCCAGTAGAAAGGTTATCCACACCTTATCTCCAGGTTAGGGACACTGCTGAAATCTGTAGTCACCCATGGGTAAGTTTCTCTAGTTCTAGATTTCAGTGTTAGGAAATCCTGTTGACTCTTAAATCTAAGTAACAGTCTGCCACATCAGAATCCTCCACAGTAAGTATATTATTGTGATTTCTGTGTGTTAATTTTTGGTCTTTTCCTCAAGTGATTCAGTACTTGGATGAGGTGCTATCTTTGCTGAAGTTCACTGACGTCACCATGGGGAATATTAGATTGTGCTAAGAAGAGACTTTGCCCATGAACTTGCTAGTCTCTGTGGTCTCTGATAGGCCTTGACAATACCTTACAGTTTTGGCAAATGGAATGCCAGAGACTGTGAACTTAGTCAAGGTTCACAAGGCTACATGCACTCATGCTTGTAAAATGGAAGCCAAATAGTTAACCAATTATGGTATAGCATTATATTGGATGTGTATTGCATCCTGTTTATTACAAAGCTGACTCAAGACAGGGAGAGGAGAGATTCTTATTCCATCTGTGTGGATGAAAAGAGAATAATGTCTACTTCACTGTAATTTGTTCTTCCCCTTGAATCTTGAAGAAAGTATTTGAATACAGAAAGTATATATTAATCAACATTTGAGGGCAATAGGAGCCCATGTTCTGCTGTTAACAAATTTAAAAAGAATGAGATATTGGAAGCTGGATTCTTTATAAGGAAAGGAGCTCATTTGTTGATCTAGATGGTGTTTTTCAGGCTGCCTTGAACTCCTTTGGTCCAGCAATCCTGCTTCCTCAGCTTCCTGAATAGCTGGGTGACAAGTGCACAGGCCAGGCTGGAAAGAGCTCTGTTTAGCTTACAGTTTTAGAGATTGAAAGTTCAAGGTCAGGTGGGCTCCCATCTGTTCACCCTCTGGCAGGACTCAGATGGCAGACTGGCTAGAGTGTGTGTGTGTGTGTGTGTGTGTGTGTGTGCGTGTGTGAGAAAGAGAGAGAGAGAGAGAGAGAGAGTGACAAAAAAAGTGAAAGACAGAGACAGAGAGAGTTACATAGTGAGATAGGACACCAAAGTAAATTCAAGGGTTAGTCACAATTTGTGAAAACTCACTCTCTAGGAACCAATGGAACCACGAGAGAGTCCTTCATCTCTTCTGAAGGCAGAGGCTGCAATGACTTAATGGCTTCCCCCTAAGCTCCATCTCTTAAAGATTCCACTACCTCAACGCTGTAGTAATGACCAAGCTTCCAACACATGAGTTCTTGAAGGACAAACCACATCTATATCATGGAAATGACCTAGTAAAGGTACCTGTTCTAGGTGATAAGGGATGGATAAGGGATAAGGGATTGAAAAGACAAAATGCACATCCTTAGGTGACTTGCATTTTAATGGGAAGAAATACAAAATAACCAACATAAATAAGCAAATACAGCAAATATGCAAATAAATAAATGGATAAAGCAAATAAATCATTATCATAATGCAGTATAGTGGTACAGGATTTGGATCCAGATAGCCAAGGGTCAACTTTGGGTTCCATGTTTACAAGATGCTTGGCATGAGTCGCCCTCCCAGGCCCCATCATGGTTCTTTTTTATGTAGTGTCCAGCAAGCTCTGACAGGTTTACCTGCACCAGGGATGGTTAGAGACTGTGTTTTAGGGAATTTCTGTCCACCAGGCCTATGGCCTGGTAATGAATTGTGTAGCTCTGTAAAACTCACAATGTTCTCAAGTCCCTGATTGAACTTTACTGTACAAGAGGGAAATATAATTACCTTGATCTTATTACATTTCCAGGGACATTTTATCATTTCTTTCAGATTGCCACATGAAGCACTTTCTTGGCTGGCTATCCTTAAATCCTTAAATGTGATCAATATATATTAATATAATCATGTCACAATGAATATATTACCAGTCAATACCTGGCAAGAAAACACAAAGAACTCTTTTCAGAAGAAATCTTTTTTTTTTTTCCTTTCTGGTCCTGGGTTTGAACTCAGAGCCGAGTGCTGTCCCTGAGCCTTTTCAGCTTGAGGCTAGTGCTCCACTAGCTCTGCTTCTGACTTTTTTCTCTGTGTATAATTAATTGGAGATAAAAGTCTCATGGACATTTCAGCCCAGGCTGGCTTTGAACCACGATCCTCAGTTCTCAGCCTCCTGAGTAGTTAGGATTATAGATGAGCCACCATGTCCCATACAGAAGAAATCATAATGAATCAAAATCATCATGAATCAATCTAGAAATCCTTTTCATGAGACAGAGTTAGCCATGTAATGAAAAGGCAAACTTGCTCCTTTCTATCTTGCAGAAAATTAAAATCCTCTTATTGCCAAGGCTGCTCAGGCCTCCTCCTGATTTCTTCTCCCTGTTCTTTCTTTGAATCTTCCTCCAAATAGCCTGGTGCAAAGAGAAGCCAGCAGAATTTAATTGAGTCATGAAATTGCTAAGTTTATTCACTCATAATCTCATGGTATAATGGAAAGCATGTGGCCTAAGACTTCCAGTGTCTAGTTTCTCGTCCTCCCTGCCAAGAATCTTCTGTGGGGTTAGGGGAGAGTGATGCAGTCTTCCTGGCCTTCAGTAACTTGTTTTATAATAACAATGTGATTAGAATAGATTACAGATTGTCTATCACATGCTTAAATTAGTTGTTCTTGCTCAAGTCTATAAAAGTGCTGGGATGTAGCTAAGTGGTAAAGTACCAGCTTAACAGGAACGAGGCCCTGGGTTTGATTCCCTAAGCTGAATAAATAAATTAATAAATGCTTAAAAAAGAAACACACAACTCA